GTATTGTTAAAAGCGCTATATAAATAAAGGTGACTTGACTTGACTTGATAGAACGGTAAAATACGGGACAATCCTGGGATAAATGTAAAAATAATCGGGAACCCCTAGTGGCGCAATAAGGAAATCCTGCAGAGGCTGAGTGTCCTTCATGCACTTCAAAGGGTCCTTTGTGCACTTCGGAGGCATGGCCTTCAAAGTCCGTGGCCTTCAAAATGCACACCCTTCACATTGGGACACAGCTGCGGTCTTTGCACTTGAGCACTTGACTACTTATATGACATATTTCCTGTATTCGGTCGAAGTGTTCAAGTGAGCAGGAAGACCACAAGTGTGTGTAGAACTTTTCATTACCTGATGGGACACAATTATAGTGTTGTAAAAATGCAAGTGTTTACAGAGCTTTATTTTTATTTTCAATACTCAATATTTCAATATTTTAAAATCAGCTTCTAAATGTCTTTTCAGTAGTCCCTATAACAGATGACAATTTAATTTTGTGGTGCTTCTAATTAAGTGATAAAAAGCAGTTGCAAATGTTAAATATACTAATCTTTGCAGCAATAAAATGTGTAGCACATAGTTTTACTACCAAATTATGTGTAATATCTTATTATTATTCATATTTAACTTACATTGGAAAGGTTTCCATGACCTCTTGCGCGATCTTGGCAAAAAGTCTCACGATTTATTTCCAGAACAGGATGCATGATGGGATACACTAAGCCTCAAATACCGCTCCAGATTTAGGGTGCTTCTCAATATCCCTCCTCATTTCCTTGTTCCTCCATCCTATGACCCGGAAACTGATCGAGTTCAGCCATCTTGAAGGACATCTCAATTCTCTAATTGCACCGTGAGGAGGCGAGGATCGAGGAGTGAGTATCCTCTCCACAGGTGTATCCTTTGCGTAAGTGACGCACGTATAAATTCTCCTCCCCCTTCACATCTGTTGTAATAATATTAATTTATATTTTAACTTTGCAGTTTAAATAAGCCATACATGTCATATAATTCAAACAGGGCATCTTGCTTTATTAATATTTATTATGAATGTCTTAAATAACAAACTTTAACAACATAAGGGCAGATCCCTTTATGCCATGCTCTCAAGTGGCCAAGACCGGGTATTTGGACAAGGCGTTAAGGTGTCTTTCCAAGCAGCCACTATCACCACCACGAGCTCAAGAATGAGACCGGGCACGACAAGGTTTTGTATGCATGAATATTTATTAGCAGCTGGCCAGAAGTCACTGAACACACACATATTTATGTTAACAAATCCATAAAAATTAGGTTACATGTTTTTTTTCTTCCAGTTTGGTTACACTCACCTCTCTCCTAAACATATATACCCCTTTGTTAATAAGCAGAGGCAATTCCCCACAGTCACTTCACATGTCTAAATTCCTAGTCTTTCCTGCATAAATGAAACATTCTGCCTAAGATCTCTTCAATTTAATTGAAGAAAGGAAGTCGTACAGATTTGGAACAACATGGGGAATGATTTATTCTACACTAAATGCTTTAATTACGTATATTCACTGAGCAGATGATTTTATATAAAATGACTCACAATTGAGGAACATTACAAGCAATGTGATGGAGATAGGGAAACCAGAGGGACTCTTGTAATCAACTTTTATATCTGTGCTGTGGTGCATCATGGGAGATGGCAGAAACCAAATGAAGGGAAATGTTTGTGCTTTGAAGTTGAATGGATGTACAATGGTGAAATATCTATAGATGAATGTTAAATAACAATAATTTTTGGTTTAGAACATGTACAAAAAGTTTATAACCTTGTGATTTGGTTGTTCGGCGAATTTGATTCCTGGTTGCTTGCATCCCTGTCAATGGTTGTGCCCAAGAGTATAAATGTGCACCAGCTGTGCGTGCACAGGATTGTCAGACTGAGATGGAAGTTGGTGAGTGAATAATCTTCTGAAGATTGGAAGTAATGAGAGATTTTTTTTTAAATGTGTATTTTTCCATTGTACTTTATTCTTGAAATTAATTTGCCATGCCTGTATATTTATGTTACAACGATATTGAAGCATCTAACCAACGGAGCACTGGTTCTAAATTCCAGTCCTGGGGACTTATTTAACACACCTGAATCGGATCATTAGCTCGTTAGGAGAGTGATCCATGAACTGAACCAAGTGTGTCAGATAAGAGAGACATACAAAATGTGCAGAGCGGGGGTCCCTGGGACTGGAATTGAGAACCACTGGTTTAAACCCTTGATATTCAATCTTCTCTTAAATGTTGTCCAAATTATACAAACTGAATTTGATCAACAAAGTCTTTTTTAATGCAAGTTATGCCGAGTAATTATGTACTGAAAATATCATTTTTAAAATGTCATTGTCAACATTTTTTATTATTATTAATGTTTTATTTGTTAGGGAGAGATACAATAAACATAGATGAAAATGTAAAAAACAATCACCCCATGCATGTACCATAGTGCTTGTAGCTGAAGCTAATGTGCAACACTTGTCCCTAGGAGGGCTTTTATAAATTACAATTACAATAAACTAGTACACAAATTTATAATATAAATACACTAAACATGACTACAGGTTTGTTGATGTATCAACCAAGATTTCGTGGCTTTCTTAAAATAATTAATTAAAATTTACAGTAGATTTTAAATAGTCAGGCAATGATTTCCAAAATGTTACACCTTTCACTGAGAGAACAGTCTGAGCAAATGATGTTTTCCAATGTATAACTTTACAGTTTCCACTAGAAGCTGCTCTAGTGGATCTACTCACTTCTGGAAGATCATTAATATAAATGCTAAAAAGAATCGTACCCAAAATTGTTCC